ATTATTATGGGCTCCGGCTACCTCACTCACCATACGAAACGGGAAAGTATTTGTCATACTTCCACTTTACTCTGGTCTTCTGTAAGGTCGTGGTACTTACCCGAACGGGCATGCCTATTCGTGCAACAGCCGAGGCTGCTGCGTGGCCTTAGCACCGTTAAAAATCCGCTTTTTAAATGTTGGCAACCCATCTGCAGACTCACAGGTATACCTATACCTACCTATAGATGTCCATCGGTATTGATAATCAATTAACATCAAGTTGCTCGGTTGCCACCACGAAAAATAATAATATGAGGAAAACACCGTAAGTTTAAAAACTAATTTTTGACGTCATTGAAAATGCATTAGACCGCGAGTTTTATTTTAAGGCATTGGCCTTAAGAATTAACCTGTAGTGGAATAATATGAATATAGTTATGATTTTTCAGAATAAACTATAAGTTTGGTACATGATTTGTTTATTAAATAATAGTTGAAAATATTTTAAATAATGTTTGGAGTAAACTGATCTGAAATTAAATGTGCATTATTAATTAAGAACATGAGATTGATTCATTTAGATTAAGATATGGTTGTTTTTACGTACACTGAAGTGTTATACAAAAAAGTGGGTACTAAAAACGTGGGTTTTTTACTCCTGGCGCAGCATTAACAGAGGTCCTGTCCTCTTTACTGTGCATCCTACCATTTATTCTTACTGTTACCAAATGTGTATCAAGGGGTATAATAGGATTTGGTCTAATTTGTTTCCCTTGATTATTCCATTCGGATTGAGCTCTCATGTAGACATTACTCCCGCATTTACAGTCAGTGTGAATACGACTCCGAGGATACATTTGGTAACTAAAATTCTTCGCGGTACAATCATGACAATAATGATCCCGACTCGCCAGGGCTGACCCTTTCTCATCTTGCAATGTCGTTTCCAGATTATTATTAGAATATTTCACATATTGTTTACTGTCTTCTTTGATTTCTTTAGAAGATTTAGAGCTAACGCTGTGCTCCAGATTATAAGAAATGTCTCTTTCTTCATGCTGAATAGGCACTTCGCTATTATAAAATGCATGCTTAGACTTATAGGGACGATATTCTCTATTATATTTCTTTGCTAAAGTCTTCCCTAAGTCTAATGACATTTTTTGAAGACTTTCATGATTACGGAGATTCGGTGGCATTTTAGATACCTCAAACATTTGACGTTTTTCTTGTAGCGAAGTTTTATGATCATTATAATTTGGCCTTAAAAGCGGCGTTTTTAGCAGTTCAATATATTCGCGATTTTCATTCGCAACTTTATCAATATGTTGCAATTTTACTGATTCTGTCATTTTGGTCATCGTGCCGTCCTTTTCTAATTTTAATCTGTTACTACATAAATGATTCAGTAAGATACCCTGAGTTTTATCAAGCGCTTTTGACATGTTATCTATGACAGGACTGCCTCCATCTACATTTACCAAGTTTAAGGGAGAAAATCTTCTGCTTATTTCTTCAAATTTATCACTTTCTAAATTTACTCTTGTTAACTTGGCAGAATCATGCGGTAATGGATTTTGAATTTGTGAATGATATAGATTAAGCATTGGGCTCCTGAATTTTTGTCGAATAAAAATAAAAGATCTGCTATTTATATTATTCGACTTTTGTCCACCTTGGCTTAATATTTCTGAATCTTTAATGGCATTCCTTGCATTTTGAAGGTTCAGTATTCGAGACTTTTTTATTTTTTTATCACATGGTGCTGAAGTTGACTCAGTTGTAGCTGAATATTTTTTTTCTTGAGTATGCTGTAAACATAATATCTATTTATAATAACAGTTTAAACATGTTATTGAAAATTCTTTATATTTAATACTGCTATACGTTTTGTAAATAGGTAAAAATGTCAACCTTGTATTTTCGCCTAACATTCAACATGTATCGTACGGAAAGTAAATCAAATTAGTTAAATATATTACATTACTCTTAGTACAATAGTGATCTCAAAAATAACCTTATAAGATTCGGATTAAATACAATGCAATTTACCCCGCATCAAACAAATGGAAATAAATACACCATAAGACACAATTTATTACTTTTTTTTGACATTGGGTACCATACATCGACTTTGTACACTTTAAACGAGCAATTCTTGTATATAAATATATATATATATATATATATACAGCGTGTCGTTACCATCGCGACAATAAATGAACACACGTCTAACGCTACTTGCCAATAATCATAAAAAATATTAACGTTAAACAAAATCCATAATTAAAGAAATTTTTTCTCAAATAAACTAATTAAGTAAAAAATAAACAAAATTTTTAACATCCTATACAACTCGCGCCATTGCGTCGCATTACAAGCCTCTCCTTCTAACAGTATGTTTTGTCTCTTTTAAATTCATTCAACCCATTCATATGCTTTGAGACCTTTACAAATGAACTTTGCGTTACGCTTTTATAGGGAAGGGTGTTCTAAAATTCTTTGTTTTGGAAATTTTTATAACTCTGTAAATATTGATGTTTAAAGAATTTAAATGTTTAATACAACTTTAAAAAGTTATCCCCTATATGTGTGTTCATTTATTGTCGCGATGGTAACGACACGCTGTATATATATAATCCCCGAATCTCGGAAACGGCTCCAGCGATTTTCATGAAATTTAGTATGTGTAGATTCGGGGGCGAAAATCGATCTAGCTAGGTTTCATTTTTAGAAAATATCCTTTATCCCTGATAATAAGCTCGGTCGGTAATCGGGCGGCTCCGAAACAGAAGGCCGCGGTTCGTGGCACGATCATTTACACACTTATTTTTATTAATTTTTTCTATACAAGATCATTGCTTTCTTTATTTTTTATTTCCAAAATACACGATTTACCAAAAAAATTTATTATAGACACTAAAATCTATCTTAATAAGCTATCAAGTTGAGACTCGTTCGTTAGCTCATATCGAATTTTATAAGCGTTTAGATATATATTACATAATATGATAAAAATATCTACACCGAGATAAAAAATTTAGCTAAGACAAAGAAAAACGATAAGACTTCAATTGCCACAAATGTTGCGTTCGGAATTTTTAAAACCCGTACAATACGAGAATAACTTACCTCCGTTATGCTCGAGGGAACTGTATATCCGGAAGTGAGTCCGATACACAAGAAAAATGAAACTACAAGCTCTTTTCTCATCTTCCAGTTGGTATTGTGAAATTGTTTAAAAATAGAAACTAAAAATGTGTCTGCAACTTCTCTGAGCGACGACTAAACGTCGTTTCAATCATCCGATTGTTCGTAAAAAGGAAGGCCTGGATAAATTAGAACAGTAAACAACATAACGTATACAAACATAAACATTAAATTAGAACAATAGGAACAATACACCTGATGAACTCACGCTGCAGTAATGGATGGAGAGAGAATATTTTTATGAAAAGCAATCTTTTATCGCATATGTGTTTCAGGATTCAGTTCTTAAAAAATATCCTTGAATAGTTAGACATTTTCATCCTATATTTTAACAGTTTAAGGTAATTTCTGTATCAAATTCAACCTCAATTCTAATATTTTTAAATCTCAATGTATTCATTAGATATATAAAATAGAAAACCTTAAAAACTGTAAGAACGGGTTGACTTGATGAGTTCTACTCATTTTGGTCTACTTGTCAATATTTTCAAAGGAATTTTTTATAAATATAAGGGAATTTTTGTTTTCAGTCGTCATGAAACAGCGATCTAATCAGATTTAATTTTCTAGATTTTATGAAATATATAATAAACACGATTCAATGAAATGAAATTCATCAAATAACTTCTTATCAGCAAGTGAATTAGGCAACAATAGATTTCAAATACCAGTAAGGTAAGATCGATACATTGTGTATTTCTTTGTGCTATGATCAATTCACTCCTACCGAAATATAATAGCAATGCATAAAACGCACTCATGTCATCATAGATCGTGAGGAGTGAAAGTTATTAGTCTTAAATGAATATATTGTGAAAAGATAATTGGAAAAACCGATTGACAGATTGCTGCCAATTTTTACGTGAACACTTCAAAGCATAGACTACTCGATAAATGAAGGATCCCTATGTTTATTGAAAATATAGTATAGCGTTTATCAACCGGAGATAATGTAGCTTCCCAACAGGGAAAGAATTTTTCAAATAGGTTTAGTAGTTTCGGAGCCTATTCAATATATACATACAATCAAATCTTTCCTCTTTATAATATAGTACAGATAAACTTTAACCAACCATTCATCAGGCAAATTTGTTAAAAAAAACTCGATTTTCTATTGATCGTCAGTTAATCACTGATTAATAGCAACTCAAAATCAACTTTGTTCATAGGCGTTCTATCAACTGAAATCATGTTAAACGTGAATTAACAAAAGATTAAACGTTAATAAATATTGATTGACCTTTCGGAAACTGGGCGTAATACGTACATTCAAAAAAATTAAAACCGTGAATAAAGTTAACCGTGACTCCGTGGCGCAGTTGCTAAGGTATGAAGAAGCGAATCGCTTTGTTCTTGTACGTGGAACGTCGACAGCATAAGGATGGAGGCCCGCCGAACGCCTGGTTGTCCGATGATGGAAAGGGGCGGGAGGCATAAGATCATGTAACTCCAACGCACACTCTCCAAAATGTATCCTGTAGAAAACCGAGAGGCTGGCGACTCTGCGCCTGTGCTCAAGGCTAGTGAGATTGGTTTTAACCAAGCTGCATCGCCACTTACCATCAGGTGGGATGGCAGTCAAGTGCTAGCCAGTTTTTGAATTAAAAAAAAAAACAGTTGTTTCGCATCTGGGTGTTTGTCCGCGTGAAATTTATGTTTGTAAAACTTCTTTAAGGATAATGATATCCTAAAATAAAGGCAATGTTTTAATAAAAAAGATTTCCATCGAAATAAATGGTACACAGCTATTTTGGTTAATTATGTATATTATTTATTTTTCAATTATTTATTTGACAATTTTTAAATCAGAACTGTCCGAACATAGCCTTAAGTTCGTAAAGAAGGACTTGCAGATCAATTCCATTTTCGTAAAGAGTCTTGGCTTCTTCAAGGAAAGTCTCACTCGACCAAAGCGCGTCCCAAATTTGTTTCCATTCCTCGCCCTGTAGGTTTTCCATGGCGACTCTGAATTCTTCGTCTTCGGCAATTTTCTGTTCGTACAATGCCGTCAGTTTCTCTTTAGGGAATACCGCGACGACGTCATTAATGTACGCGGTCATGTCCCTTCCGCTGAGTGTGTGCCGAGCCTTCTTAAGCTCTTGAATGTCCTCTAAAAACAGTAAAATAAAATACATTGAAAATCCACTCTGTATACAAAATTGTAAAATAACGTTGCGTATTTTTAGATGTTACATTACTCTGACAGCTTAAAGCTTTTTTTTTATGTAAAAATATCAATTTTTTTACTGTTTGAAAAACAATTAATGTAAAACACCATACCAATCATTTCGTTCAAACGCTCAATGAAGAACATGATGTCAATGTTATCTTGTTCCAAAAAGTCTATCATCTGAAATAAAATTTAACGATTACACGTACAATTCAAATAATTTGAGTAAAAATAGAGAGTTTAGTAAAATAACACCCATTATTTATCGGCTGCCACCAAAAAACTGCTAAATTTAATTCTGATCAGATTTTTGTAGCTATACTTCTTTTGGAAAAATTATAACAGTGAGATTTTTACGATGCGCGCGCACACCGACACCGACATGATAAACTTGGTTCCAACCAACTTCGACCAACTTCACAGTATTAATATGGCAACCAAAAACAACTTTTTGACATTGACTTATAATTCCAAGTTATTTGGTTAAAACCAGAAATATATCTCTTATATAATATCTCTTCCCAAACAAAGTACTGGCATAACGGTATAAATTATTTTTCTCTTGTTCCGCTAAAGAAGTATAACTTCTTACGTGCGTAAGAGTTACACACACATTTTTTTTTATTTAGACGCGTAAAATTTAACTTCTTTATTGTGATATGTACTGAAAAGTCAGTCAATTGCGTATTTAAAAACAATGGTCACTGCAATCTATGTAAAAGTTTTTTATCTTTTTAACTCTTTACAAGGATATGTTATTATGATTGTAGGGTAGAAATAAATCAATGACTTACTGCTTTAAATTCAGGCAACGATTCCATTTCATATACAAGGTCTTTGAAGTTGGATGTTCTTATATAGTCCAAACTTCTTGTGAACTCCTCAAATTCGAGGTAATGCTCCATAATATGAGTGATCTCATCGAAAGACTCTTCGAATATAAGGTCCAGGAAGTCTTCGGCATGCTCATGGAATAGTTTCCTCGGCTGAGGTGCTGAGAAGCTTAAGGCAAGTATAGACAGAAAAACAATGGCGAACTTCATGTTGGCTAGTTTAGTAAAGTATTTTTGCAGCATGCGACTTTTATAGTAGAAAACTATCTTACGTTGATTAGATAACACTCTTGTCATGTGAAATGATCGAATCAAGGGATAACGATAAAGTTAATGTTTTTCTTCCTCTTAAAATGTAAAAATTTTCAGCATATGTAATACATAGAAAAGATGGATATAAAAAACATCTTTCTCTGATAGCATATATTGAAGACTTATATGATACTATAATTAAAAATAAAATACATTCCTTGAATCAATTTCTTTCAAATGTGATCCTCCGCTCACCTTCATGTTTAGGTTAAATATAATTCTGTAATTTAGTAATATAGTATAAGTCAATGCTCAATAAAAAAAATAATTTTACGTCATTAATTATTTAAAGTTTATCTATGAACATATTTAGTCTGTTATACATATTTATGACGGTAGTTTGAAATAAACCACGATAGAATCGTAACTGAACGTTTTAAAAATCCTTTTTCCTTTTTTGAAACATCTTCATTCGATACGACATTTAAGTACTGATTATTTTCATCAAGTCCATAATGAGTTTCAAAAACAGTAAGATTTTAGCTAATAGTACAAAAGTTGCATTTTCTCAAGAAGAGATCGACGAAAATAATACAATAGCTGCATTCTCGCAAGAAGAGTTCGCCGAAGGATCCTTTATCGATGATAATTCCCATCTAAGGCTGTCTTATTACCAACATCGTAGAGTACCACATCAAAATATGTCAGAATTTAAAGAAATCAGAAACGATTCTTTGCTCACGACCAATTACGATGAAACTGTGGAAGAAAAACCAACTGTTGATACAATATTGCCGGAACTTAGTGACTTATTACAAGAAGATGAAAGACAGAAGAGAAGAGAGATGTATATAGCGCAAATTCCTGAACTACCTCATCCGTCTTTTACTGTCGCGTCCATCATCGCATCAGCTTCGCATAAAATGGACTCCGGTATTTATCTTAAGTATAATCATAGAATAGAGGAAGGAAAATGTGGTTTTGATGATGTTAAACTTGATTTTAATCCGAAGCGCAGATCCACTTTGAAGTCCAAAGATTTTTTAAAGTAAATTATTGATAAAGTTTTTGATACGTTTTTCAAGTTTTGTATAATTTAAATTTTTTAATAATGTAAAATTAATTTTGTACCTCCATCAGAACTATTCTTAAATGGAAAATGATGTTTGCAGAGAGAATATTAAAGTTATATAGTAATAATAAAAATTAAGTATTAAAAATTAATTGCAGTTATTATAAATTAACGAAATAAATATATTATGTAGTTAAGCGTTTGGCATTCATATTTATATTATAAAACCATTATAAAATCCATTTGTATTAATATAAAACATTGTCTTTAAATAATATTTTCAGGACATTATACATTTGATTATTATATTACCATTATAATAATTGTATCTTTAAAACCTTACTCATTAAAAAAATATTTGTATTTGTACTTTCCGTTAGAGGACCGTTAGAGATGGAAGATTCTAGATAAGCGACAATTATTCTTCGAAAATTGTATATTTAAAACTAGATCATTTCGACTATTCTGTGTTCAAATTATTGTGAGTTTATTATGATTAATTTTCTGGGTTTTTTTTTAATGAAAAACAATTGTAATACAATCTTCAAACTATTTATTAAAGGCTAAACTATAATACAAAATGTGAACTTCAATGCGAACTAGATAACTGGTTATGTTTTTTTTTGGGGGGCGGGGGGGGGGGGGGGGGGGGGGGGATTTATTAAACATATCATATGTTTAATTGATGTAAATTTTATTCCAGCTATACAATACTGATTGCCTGAGTGTGAGTGTTTACGTCACTAAATTAATGTGATTTCAAATGCAACGGGTGACTAAAACTAAAACTGTAGTACCATTCCAGTAAATTATTGTAATGAGCTGGAATATATAAGATGTATTTAGTAATTCTGGATAAAGCCTTTATACAGACGATATTAAAGCATACACGCGGCTTCATACAGATTGGCAGACTATTACATCTTAGTAATGGACCTTTTTTAAATTATTTCCCAGTAATTCAGGTTCCCGTACTATATTTTCTTCACTACCGAGACAATTATTAAAAATGTAATAAAATTCAATAGTGCAGGCGACGGGATATAAATAACCTCTGGTCGCTCAACTACATCGAGTTAAAAGTGTGTGGCTGGTCACAGCAGACGTGGATCAATTAATTGTTTAAAATAAATACAGCCAACTCACTTTTTATTCGCTTACTAACTAATAAAATAAAACATACCCTATACTCATATCCGTGCAAAGGCATAGGCTGTAGACATTACACACGTTCGAAAAACATTAACCTCCTTCAGCTATCGAATAAAAAAGGTTGGAATAAAAAATCTTGGAATAACTCGCGAACTTTCGAAATTAATTAAAAGGTTCTTTTAAGACAAAAATCGTGACATCTATATACGTTCATCAAGTGTTCATCCTTTACAGCATACAACACCTTACAAATAACATTAAACGATGAATATTTGTAACAAGAGTTGTCACCATTGCTCTTAAATTTTTTTAAGATATTTTTTTTAATTTCTAGTGCTAGTCCCTGCACTCAAGATGAAATTTGAAATTGTAATTTTTTGTTGAACAAAAACTTTGATTCGAATCTACATCTTTTGGTTTTGCCCAGACCCTTTACGAAGTAAGCTAAGCGACCTCACGATTCGAAAATCTTGACATCTATCTACGTTCGTTCTTTTACATTTTTAGCAATGCTTGAAGCATACTTACAACTACTGCGCATACTTTACAACAAACAACACCTTACAAATAACATTCAACGAAGAATATTTGTAACGAGAGATCTCACCAATAGCTCCTAAATTTTTTTGAGATTAATTTTTATTTTTAGTGATAGTCTCTGCACTCAAAATGAAGCTTTAAATTGTTAATTTGTATAGATAAATGAACAAAAACTTTCGACGCTGCGAGATTCGAACCTGTATGTTTTACTATTTAAAATTTTATTTTGTCATGAAATACTCATCATACTTTTTCTTGTATCTGGTTCGTCGAGGGAACTATTCAACAAGTCTGGCAAAATAAGTAAAAACAAAGTAAGCTTAAAAGAACCCGAACGACGTTATCTCTAAGATGAATTTATTCGGATTTATTCACAAGATTTTAATGGATCAATTAAATTTCCAGACATATTTTACGTTTTCTAGTCCCGACATGTAAACAGATACACACTAGAACAATACTATGTTCATCGAATGTTCTTAATTTCATTAGCCTCGCGGCTCATCATTGCGGGGAATCGGTGTTCTTCTTTTTGTCTTTTTCTTTTGTGAAGATTTGAGATTTTTTTGTAAATCTAATGTAATAGTTTGGGCCGGAGAATAACATGACGCGAATTAGAGTAAATACTGGACATCATTATAACTTATTTTCGTTCAAACATGCCTCGACAACAAAACATATAAGTAAACTGCATATGCCAAAACTTGTGCTAAGTCTTATTGACCTGATTGACTGGCGGAGTATGGTTCAAAAATTAAATCCGCCCAAAAACATGTGTGCGGTATAAGTAAAAAGCAATTGGTTTCTTTTTCCTAGAGAACCTCATTTGTTAAGATTTAACTCCACCCTGTTTGTACCAATTGTTTAAGTATTTTTATTAGTATAGAATGGCTTACTTTAACGAAAGCGTTTGCAAAATCAGTATATATTGCACCTAATTCATGGTCTTTTTCCATTTTGCTATTTAAATTACTACAAAGTAGGTTAGTTAATGTGGAATGATTTGGGCGAAAACCATGTCGACGAGGGATAGTATGACATCGACTTGGTTTAATAAAAATGGACAGACAAGTGAAGCCAAAAAAAGCTTGAAAACTTTCTTCATGGCGTTAGTTCATAGCATCATAGCTTTTGCCATTTTGGATATTGGAATGGTAATATTTTTGCTTTTTTCTAATAACGGAGAAGCAGCCATCTTGTAAAACTAAGTAGTGATTAAGATTTTCGTTAAAGGTTAAATACTTTAGGTATAACGTCAGGGCCGGAACCTTTCAATGTATTTTAATCTTCAGCATTTTAATATTATTTTATTACTTCGTTTTCAGTCAAGCAATTCTATTATGATAATTATCATGCCCAGGAAAGTAATATTTTGTCTTAATATTGTGGTTGGTGTGCTTTGGCTGTAGGAAAAGAAATGTTTGCAAGTAGATTAGCAATTTCTATGCCTACTTCAGCTGGAATCGAAGACAAATAACGAGAAGGTGACAACCAAAACATCGCGCCATCTGGACGTTGTTACGGTTCTCATAAGCGACAAGACGACACGGTATTGCCATGGCAACCAATAATAACTTTTTGAGATTTACCCAATGATATTATATACAAATACGAGGTAGATATGACACTAGCGCACGAAAACTGAGGCGCTCAAATTACGCCAATCGGTGTAATTCTATAGACTGCTATCTCTTTCCGTATCATACGTTCCCCATCCAATCCGAAATTCCAAATTTTAACCATTATCAATTGCATTTAAAGTTATTTTCACAAATAAAGAGTACTAGCACAGGGGATAAAGTTTTAGGTTATTTTTCTTTTGTTACGCTAAATAAGGATACCTTCTTACGTGCGTATATAATTACACACATAATTTTTTATGTGTATTCTTGAATGTATATACCATAGTAAGTCAATCTGACCTTTTAAATCTGATAAAATTTAAATATCGAATATATGAAGAAAATAAATGTTTAAAAAGAATTACTATTTTTTTAAAGGAAAGCAATTGGTAAATTCTATCCATTCGTAATTTCTGCCACGAAGACTATAACTGTGAAATCGCTTATAATTTTTATAAGATATTATTTTTAAATCAAAATAAATCACTGTTCGATTACTGTTTTGATGTAAGCTATTAATTTATCTCATTTTATAATGTAATTTTAAAATTAATTCTAAACTTTTTCTTTGTATAAAACAAAAGAGTTTAATGAACAGAAAGAATGATTTATTGTTTTCAAATTGTTGTTTGCTTTCTAATACTTTACATTTGTTTGTTTATTATGACTTTTATAAAAATACTAGCTGACCCGGCAAACGTTGTCTTGCCGTATAAATTATTTCTTAGGAATTTGTAGGAAAAAAATATTTGGGGTGGACCACCCATAACATTTAGGGGGATGAAAAATAGATGCTGTCCTATTCTCCACCCTGACCGATATGCACACAAAATTTCACGAAAATCGGTCGAGCCGTTTCGGAGGAGTTCAATTACAAACACCGTGACATGAGAACTTTATATATTAGAATAAAAGAATCAACACCTTATAAAAAATCTGAAAAACAATTATAACGTAAATCATGTAAAGTAGTATTTTCGAAAGCTCTCATTGTCGATAGCATCCCATGGATCCACAGATAATAAATGTACGTCTCATGTACGTCACGCAACGCTTCGGCTGAACTCGCACGGTGCGTCCCGCTACAAACGGAACTACCCGTCCTCTCTTCCCCTGCTTTACCACCGAAATACCTAAAAGTTGACTGCATACAGCGCCTCCATGTTTATTATTTTGTTCAATTATTTTCTTCACAATGTTTTCATTTTTTTAATCAGAACTGTCCAAACGTAGCCTTAAGTGCATAAACAAGAACTTGTAAATCAATTCCATTCGTGTTAAGGATTTTGGTTATCCCAATGAAAGTCTCATTCGACCAAAGGGCGTCACAAATTTGATTCCATTCCTCGCTCTGTAGGTTTTCCATGGCAACTCTGAATTCTTTGTCCTTGGCAATCTTCCATTTGTAAAGTCCCGTCAATTTATTTTGTGGGAATACCGCGACGCAGTCATTGATGAACGCGGTCATATTCCTTCCGCTGACTAAGTGCCGAGCCGTCCTAAAGTCTTGAAGATCCTCTAAAAAAATGAAATAAAATAAATTAAGTGTAACCACCATATGTATCTTCATACGTAAAAATGTAAACTAACGTTGCGTATTTGTAGATGTAACATTGTTTGACATTTAAATTTATTATAGCTGCTCTTATGGAAAAATATCACTTTTTACTATTACGAATCTAATTTATACAAAACAACATACCGATTATTTCATCCAGAAGGTCAATGAAGTACCAGATGCTAATGTTATCTTGTTTCAAAAAGTCTGTCATCTGAAATAAGATTTAACAATAAATTATTAAATACACAACCATACAATTGACAACCATAAATTATTAAATGTAATAGAAGACCCGACTGTTCTAAAAATACTAACTACTCTTCAATTATTTCGTTTCTACTTTAAAAAACTTACCTATTATCACGCCCGCTGCTGTGTATTAACAACTACTAACGGGCCAACTATTTGGAATTTATGAAAAGAAATTTCGTCAAATCAACAATATCATGAACTCAGAAACCATGTACTACTATTAAAATCTTTACGATGATAGGTTATTGTGATGATAGAGTAGAAATAAATTATGGGCTTACCGCTTTAAACTCAGGCAGCAGTTTAATTTCATACACAAGGTGTCTGAAATTCCATGCTAAATAATCCAAATTCCTCGTGAACTCCTCATATTCGAGGTAACGGTCCATAATACAAAAGATTTCATCGAAAGACTCATCGAGGATGAGGTCCAGGAAGTCGTCAGCATGCCTGTGAAAGTTTTTTCTCGGCTGAGGTGCCGAGAAGATTAAGGCAAGCGTTGATAGAAAAACAATAGTGACCTTCATGCTGACTAGTGTAGCAAGTATTTTAACGTCATACGACTTTTATAGTGGTAAACTATCTTTTATTGATTAGATAACAGCAACAGCCATGAAGAGATTGAACGAAGAGATTAAAATATATTCCGAATTTTGTACATCTGCAACAAATCATATTTAAGAAAATGGAGAACAAAATTCGGAATATATTTTAATCCCTTTGTTCAATCTACATAGAAAATATATTTACGGAACATATTTCTCGGAAGAAAAATTTTCATGATTTTTACTGTATATTGAATACAAAAAGAATAATTCACTAATTCAAACGATTTATATAATTATGATCTCTCTATCCCTGCTTTTTATCCCCGTGAATCTAAGCCTGATCATAATAAGTTTAAAAAGTAGTTTTGTAATAATTAATATTCATTAAATTTAATTAATACAAATACTATGTAATAAATTATTCAATAAATTGATTTCAAAAATTAAAGTATGAATAAATTAAGTCTGTTATATATTTCATATGACGGTACTAAATACATAGTAATAACCTCGTAAATAATTTAAATGTTTTCCATTTTTAAACATCTTCATTCGACACATATCATTGCTTTTTTAAGTCTAAAATGAGTTTCAAAAACATTAGAATATTAAAAAATGGTACAAAAATTGCATTCTCCCAAGAAGAGATCGCCGAAGTATCCTTCATCGATGATATTTCTCATCTTAGACAGTCTGAATTCGTAAATTTACACATGATTTTGTCAACAAAAAGTAGTTTTAAAGATCTAAGCATACAAAGGGACAGACAGTGGGACGCCATTGTTTAATACTATGTAGAGATTAACATAATTGCGACCTGATGGAAAAGAGCACGAATACGTAATAATTATTATACACACGCCTTTTTATTCTCTATATATAATACATTTATAATACTTTATAGAATACTGTTCATTGGGGATTACACAAAGTTTTGAAATGTCATCCCACTCAAGAGAATTTCATTGTCGAGTAGTCACAGCGCATCAAAAAAACGCCGCAGAGACAAAAACACATAATTACTGAGGCTAGTGATTTCCCGCGGGAAACGGCGCGTCGCTGCGCACAACCTAGCTTTCTTTTTAAAAATATTTTATTAATATTCGTTACAAACTCTTCCTATAACTTATATTTCGAATTTGATTATTTCGACTAGAACACTTTTTGGGTTTGTTTTTTTTTTTTCTATTAGGTAATTTTTTAAGTGAGTGACGATGAATTTGGGCTAAATCAGGTAATAGATAGTAGCGTTATATGTTATATTATTGCATACTGCACAACTGTGTGACAGCTTCGATAAGAAAAGACAAAACCAAAATTATACTTTTTTATAACTCAGTAAAATTAAAAAAAAGAAGTAAATTAAATTAATTTATTATAACTCGGTGAAACAATTTTAATTCGACCTATAAATTCTTAAAGGCTTTTTTCAAACGGACAAAAGCGTACATACACTCCAACTATGGGTACGTGTAAGTATCATACGCATATATTGTATCATTTAGATATCCGAAGGGGATGGATAACAACAAAGAACGATCATCAGACGCGTACTTTTGACCTGTTTCGCTTCGTTCCTTAAGGACCTTTTACGATCGCGAAAAACACTCTGTAATGTTGAAAATTTCTTCCGCCGGGAACACTATTTATAAGGTTCTAACTTCAAGCAAACTGTCAAAGAAGTAACCCGGGGGACAGAAGTTCGGGATGGCGCTAAACTTTCCTAACGTGTCTTTATTTCTGATTGTAACAAGACGCCGTAGCCCGTAATGATTTTCCTTTGTAATGTCACTGCGGAAATAAACTTCAATGCGAAAATAAAATAACTGGAAATGTTTTGCGGATGATATTTGCAGTTATAGATTTTACTCTTAATATACAACAATTTTTTGTATGTAAAACTGTTGGCAAACGAGGTGTCGATTCACCTGATGTTAAGTGATAACTGCCGCCCATTGACATTTTTAACATCCGTAGGGTTGCAAATTAGTTGCCACCTTTTAATAAAGAAGGCCCGGCTACTTCACTAACCAGACAGGTCGTGGTACTTAGCCGGACGTTACGTGGTACTTGCCCTTTCTTGGAACAGAGAAGACTGTTGTGTGGGCCGCCCTACCATAGTTACAACTTAGCCACCTGCATCATACAAAATTCTAAAAAATGGTGTGGTGGATTACAAACTGATACACTCTGTACAGAGGAGACTTTAGTTCAGCGGCTTAGCACATATATGTCTAGAAACTTTAATAGTCTACGGACTGATAGGGCTAACTTCTTTACTAGGGCTAACTTTCTTAAAACAAAAAAACCGGCTAAGTGCGAGTCGGACTCGCGCACGAAGGACTCCATGCCATTATCTATCAAAACGGCAAAAAAATCATGTCTGTCGTATCGAGTCTCACTTAATTATTTTTTATTCTGTTTTTTAGCATTTATTGTTATAGCGGCAACAGAAATACATCATCTATAAAAATTTCAACTGTCTAACTAGAGTATCACGGTTCATGAGATTAAGCCTGGTGACAGACGGCAGACAGACAGACAGACAGCGGAGTCTTAGTAATAGGGTCCTATTATACGCCTTGGGTACGGAACATAGACTATTAGCAGCTTATTTTACAATTAATGACCGTAAAGCGTCCGTGCAATATAACAATTTAGCGGCAATTGCTTCGTTGTTAATACCCTTCTTCACGTCTAGCCGATGAATCGGGCTTTTTGAAAAGCAAACTAATTGTTGCTGATGCAATTAACGTCGCAGTAACTCGATATAAAAGGTTATTTTCACGAACTCATCGTACTCTTTCTTGTAACTTCATCGAGGAAACTATTCAACGAAAAATGTAGCAAAATAAGCAAAAACAAAGTAAGCTTAAGAGAACCTTTTTGTTCGTAAGATAAAGAATAGAATTTTGTATTAACAATACTAGCTATCTTCATGTTTACAGCTTTTTAAACAGCAAGTTATGTATAAATAGTAAATAGAATAAACTATCCCTTAGATAGACTGTAAAGGTACTCAAAATTTTTCATTAGCTTGTAGTAGTCAGAAACTAAGCCAATCTTTTACTATAGGTAGGTACTAGGTAAGTGACAAACATGTTTTATGGTCTGGTGACGAGGGCCTTTAGGCAAGGTCTTAACTTATATACACATCACTTCACTGATAGATATTAAATGAGCATGCTTAATTTGATATATATAATATTTCCAAACTTGATATAAACAAAAATGATAACTTTCAAAATTATTATCGCGCAAAGTCCAATTGCAAATAGAAGTTATATAATTATGCACTAGCAAAGCTTACATCAATAGCTGAAGGACAGTATTAGGATTATCGAATTGTTGTTACTTTACCTTCATTGAGAAAACATAAGTACAATTCATATATTAAATGATGAACATCAAATAGCTATATGATGCGCATGAAAATCTCCACCTACTTATGTAGATTTAAGATGATCTCTAATGATGTTGCGCAGCGTATTTGTTGTTATATGTCCACTAACAGGAGGACAATAAGAGCATAAGACATAAAGGCTCCAAGTTGAGTGGAAAGGGATATTGCAATAATTTGAACGTCTTCATAAAAGTGGTTTGTAAAAGTTAATGCTTGAGGTAAGGTTTTATTAGAATGGCAGCCCCAACATAATAAATTATATTGGGGTTTTTAAAGTGAACATTGTAGATAGCTATGCTAAAAGTTCGACCTGTATTTTTAAACCAAGTCATTATATTATATCATATATATCGTTAAGAAGACAAGTAACAATATTTTATTCTTACAAAAAAGTTACTAGTAATGGCTTCAGTGTGAGTACTTGGAATGCTGTAGTGACTGTAGTGAAATTCGTAACTTTGTGATATGCGCAACCCAGGACATAACATAATATTTAAAAAGCATACATTTTTGATATTGGCACCATCACCATGTTAGCCATTGAGACCAAGCAACGGACAACAGCCATCTTAAAGCATTTTGCTATCGAGTAATGATGTAATTTTGAGGAGTCAGTCACATCACAGTTGGTACACCTTATACTGACTTTGATGTATTCACATGGTTTAACAGAAGTAATATACAGCATGGCTTTTCTAAAGGTACCCAAATTCACACAAGAGGTTCAGACTCGGTAGTATAATCGTTTATTGAAATAAAAACAAACTTTTTTTTTTCAAAAAAATTTCCATTTTATTCCCTTAAAAAACAGAACTTGTAAACAATGCGGTAGTCATTCATAAATGCGTCGTGTACTTTTGAAACGAACTTGTGTGCGTGTTAGTTATGAATGATCCCGTGTAAATAAAGTAGTTGCCTATAAATCACGCACTTTTTGAGATAAGTTAAAATGAGTGTAATTAATTACGAGTGATTTTAAATATTAACCATTTTTATGTAACACTATTTATGTCTAGAATTTAATAGAAAAAAATGGATACAGTTAGAAAAGCCTACCTATATACAACGGATTTATTTAGCACTAACTGGGCAGTTTTGGTTGGTTTGTATGACAAAGGCGGAAATTTGTTATTAGTTATTTTCTTAGTACTAGCAACACTTGCATAAGTAATCTTATTCTTTTTTCTTAAATTTTTCTCATTTTAATTGAACATAATTTTGAAATAGCTAAATTTGAACCACTAAAATTCGCAAAGCAAAAGTGGTTAGTATTTAAAATCACACACCTTTAGAAAAGCCACCCTGTATACTAAGGGGGGTATAACCTAATTACAAACTATAAGTAGTCGATAATTAAAAGAGAAACAACAGCAGAGACAAATGTTTAAAAGATATTAATTTTTGTAGTGGTATGCTCTGCACTTAGATGTAATTTAAAAATTTCTAGAATAAAAAATGAACGAAAGTTTTTGCCGTGGCGAGGATTTGAGCCTGCGTGCTGTAAAAAAAACATGTAAAGGATAAAATTATGTGATGAAATTCCCAAAAGTTTTGGTCAATGTGATTAGTTTTGTAA